AAATTTTCTATGACACTCGTGAGAGATTTTTCTTTTCAATTTTTTACAGAAATAATTTAGTAATCGTTGAACAAATTATTCCGAATGTGTCTTTTGATAATACATTGAATTGTGAATGAAAAGAAAAAAATATACTTTTAGAAAAATAATTTACATTTTAATGGATATTATATGTACATTACAATATGCACAGGATCTGAAGGAGTTGAATGTTATACAATCGTTCAATTCTTGTTATATAATATCTTGACATTAATAACAATTAGGAAATGAATTCATTTACATTAATAGATTGATGGTATTGATTGATACATGATATTATTCTTTATTATTCCTCAAAATTTCTTACATAAATTTTAAATCATTTGGTATTATACACATGACAAAAATATATTTTTTTCAAAGTTACATAAATATTAAAATTAGCAAAAGATAGATTTAAAAAATGGTAATCTTCTAATAATTTAGGTCAAGAATGTCTGATATCTTTTTTATCATCTTGTTAATTATGTAACTTATGTATTACTCATTTATCTTCAGAAGTATTTATTTCGCTTTTCCTTTCATTTCTTTATTTTACATACTAGGTATTTATGAATGGCGCTAGAACAAATTAAGATAAATATTAAGTCGAGTCATAAATAACTTCCGTTTTTTATGAGACAAAGAATGGTGTTTCTGCGACTGATAAGTGCAAGACACCTTTCATGGAGTTTTTTTTTTTTTTGCACTCTTTGCAATTGTTTAACGTATCTATTGGATTTTGCTTCAATATTACCTTTAAAAGATTCGTCAAAGTCGAAAATACGTCCTGCACTCGGTTCATCTTTTAAGATCGTATCTCCAGAACGGAATTTTACAAACCAATTTCTGACTGCCCAATAGGGGCATATGTATATATATATATATATAATGATAACTAATATTATCAGTCCTGCACTGTATAAGCTGTATATTTTTTCAGTTGCTACTTTAGTGCTATTGCCTTGTTTCAATTCTTAAAGCATTACATATCGAATATGCACTTTTTACTATTCATTTCAGTGGTTAAGAAAAACGGTTAAATGTAACATTGACTACATAAAAAATTGGACAGAAGACTAACTGAATCCTCATCTATGTAGTCATATTGAAAATCCGATTGTTTCGGTGACTTATAGTAGGTAAATGCGAAAAATAGATTCTATTAAGTGGTTCGGAAAGTCGTTTCGTTTTTTGCTAACGCAAAAATGACATTATTTGATGCAAACCGACAAATAGTAACACATGAGATCATCGATGAGAGGTTAAATTTATCAAATTCAACTATTGATGACCACTTGAAAGGTTTAGTTTTAATCTCGAAGCAAAAATGATCTTCATTTTTACAAAAGAAAAACGAAACTTTCGACTTTCCGAACCACCTAATATATAGTCGCATCGGAAGTTACTTATGACTCGACCTAATACGATAGTCACATTCCTTTCGAGAAGATTTTTACTTTCATTTTTTTTTTTTTCGATTTATTCAAATGTATTCAATTTTGAAAGAAAACACAATTGAAGAAAAGTAATTTTATGAGAGATAGATGCCATGTCTTATTTATAAAGTCCTTTGAACGCATTCATGATATACGTGTAACCGTGTAAACTTCCTTTCCAACAGTCGAATAATTACATACATAGGAACATGTAATATGCCGCTTTCGATGCATCGCGTGTTTTATGTTCTCTATTTTAATTTTATCTATTTACGTGTCGTCTATACTTAAATGTACATCAACTTTTTTTTTCTACCACGTTCATTCAGTTTTTATCTTTCAATATAAAATAGAAAAAGAAAAAAAACATTTCTCACATCAATTATTTTCTTGCAATCGATAAATCTCTTACTCCCGACAGAAATGTATCTATATAATTTAATTATCATTAAATTGTAGAAAAATTTGTTTAAATGTAAGATATATCTGACAAAAAAAAAAGATGTGATCTTTTTCTTGCTCAACGAAAAAAAAAGACATATTAACCAGTTAAGCGTGTTTGATGATTATATTCGTCATGGAGATGTGTGGCAAAATTTTGTATTATGACATCTATATCCGACATGCGTAAAAGTTTGTTACAATTTAATGTTTAAATTGTAATTTTGGCGTAAAACTAAATTATATTCGTAAATTTTAATATGTTTAAAATGTTTAGAGATAAAAAAAAAAGAAAAGTCAAGAATAAATTTGTAACTTCTATAAATATTCGATTTTTTCTCTAATTTTTACATTTATTATGTATAAATATATGTTCATATTAAGAAACTGTGTGTACATTACTAACAAAATTGTTCATTATTTTCTAAAATAAAGTCGTTTTTTTTGACTATCCAATATTTTAACAGCGCCACTTATTCTGTGTTTGACGACGACTATATCCGTCATCGCTTGATTATCGCGACACACACCAGAGCGCGCTCTGCGCACAGATCGTCACACTTAACTGGTTAAATCTTATATAAAATTACAAATACGTTTTTTTTTTATTAGGTGATAGAAACATTAATAATTTATAAATAAATGAAGTGCCTCAGCCGCACCTTGCTCTGTGGTTTTATTATAATACGTTGATTTAATATAATACTAAACTATTCGAATACAATCAAATTAATATTCATTTATAATTTCAGTGAGTTGAAATTAAATACAAAATTACATCAAATTTTTCATTTTACATTTTATTCATCTCATATTTGAGTATAATTTATTTAAGTATATTATGTCACATGAATTATGAATACATTAATATACAGACAAACCTGTTTTTATGCGGAAGATAGGGACCAAATAAAAGAAAGTCGCACTTAACTCTTTGCGGCATAGAATTTCAGATAATTAAATAGCCCCATGTTGCATGGAGATTTGATTGAGTTTTAAATGAAACATAATTGGTATATTTTTATTAATAAAGATATTACATAATGTAAAAACATTAAATAAATAAAAAGTAATAATTTAATTTTACATTTGTAACATTTGTTGAAAATGTTACTACCAATTGCTTTGCATAAGTAAGACGAAATATAAATTTATCAGAATGCAACTATTACAATATTTCGGCGTGGGACTAAAAATGTCCCCCACTGTGCATTACGGTGTATCAAAAAGGTGGGACACTTTTAGTCCCACCGAGCTCCAAAGAGTTAAAAAATACATCAATTATTTACGAAATAAATCGGAAAATGCTTTCAAACAAATGAAATAAGTAAATTGGATCTGGAAATATTTGAAAAACATTTCATTTTTTCATTGTATACATGCACAACAATTTTCAAAATGTACATTAAATAATTCACTGCTACTCGTAATCTAAAACGTACATTTTCTTCTGAGGACTTTCGTTGCTTAAAGATACGATTTCAATTAATTTTGGTACCATAAAGTTGACCACTGATTATGGTTTATTAATCAACTGGTTTTATTCGGTCCCTATCCTCCACATAAAAACAGGTTCACCTGTATGACACGTTATAATATACTTACATGACCTTGTCATTAACGAACGATTGGATTCTTTGGATTCCATTGAATACAAGGACACGAGGGAAGCCCTTTAATAGAGAGAGAGTATAAGAAATCTGGTAAAATGGAAGAGGAAAACACAGTTTTGAAAGCACAGTTCCCTTTTCGTCAAACATTGTTTTGCAACAATGTATCTCCCTACGTAAACATGGAAATTAACCCATTAGCTGCCACGATCCCCATTTGGAGATTTTGGAATTTTACGTACACCACTCGGTTTTATGTGGACTGTATGAAAAAATGGGGCATAATAATAGCTATTTTTTATGTATAGGATAATAATAAAAGAAATAAGTAATAGTCCCTTATTAGTTTTTTTCGTGCAACCAGCCACAATCCCCATTTTAAGACTTTTTAAAAAATATAAATATTTCTCTAACCAAAAATAATTTGGCAGTTAATGGGTTAAGCATCACCTCTGGAAAAAAGAAAGTCACGCATATATGTCATAGGGCCGATAATGGTTGGCAAAAGAAAGTCACATATGTGACAACAAATTTTAAGAAAAAACGTAGTGATAACATTCAAAACAAGGTCGACGATCAAATACTTCCGAAAATGGTCCGATTTTTTCCAATTTTCAGCTTCACTTCCAGTGATATTAGAGGCCAATAAGATTCATACATTTCCTTACCCTATCCTAAAGGGTGTAGCTCATTTTTGATATAAATATGTGAAAAAAAAGTAATAAAGCATCCACTAACTATCAGTCTATCAGTTAGTGAGTCTATCTATCATCTATTTTATAATCTTATCAGTCAGTCAGTTAATTAATCTTATTGTTAGTCTGATTTTTATAACTCTTCTGTACTCTGTACTCTGCACTCTGCACACACGTCACTTTTTGTAAACTATTGAAAATACTACTCGACATAATAATTAACACATTGAATAAACTATTATTATATTTCTTTCTGAACTCTACAATATATATATATACTAGAGGTGCCCCGCCACGCGTTGCTGTGGCTCACAATCAGTCTGATACACACGMCTCTAAGTCAACGAATTACCTTATACCGCCATCTGTTAGAATCTTATCGAACTAACAGAGATAATCATGACTCTTTGTTAATAAACAAATAATATTGCGATTATAAATTGAGATATAAACTATCCTATCTTTCAAGTTGAATGAAACTGCACACAGTGTGCAAAATTTGATTAAAATCGGTTCAGTAGTTTAGAAGTCCATTGCGGACAAACAATGTGACACGTAATTTATATATATATTAAGATAAGATTTCTATTTCTTGTTCTTACTTAGTTGCATTTGGGAGCTAAACTTCCCTAGTAGCACAAAATATTGAAAAATATTGAATACATTAAAAAGACATTAAATCTCTTTTTAATATTAATTTTGTGCTACTAGGGTTATTTCATTAATTGAATTAAACTGAACTTATTTATATAAGATTTCGTTAAAAAATTCTGTTTTTCTTTCTTTCTTTTTAGGAATAAAATCGTACTTGTAAAAGGTACGAAATGAGTTCAGTAATTGTGCCCGTTTCTTATTATCCCTTTGGAAAATTTTGGGAAAGCAAATACGTGTGCCAGCCTATGCCGCATGATTTATTCCAGAGAACGTTTTCTCGTATCTAAGGGAAAGAAATAATTGAAAAAGAAAATCAGCGTTAGGATTAAAACGAATAAAAGAAGAAATAAACGAGAAGTAGTTATTTGAATGAACTGGAAGTGAAAGACAAATAATATAATTTATTTATTAGTAGATAAAAGAATAAAGTTAAAAAAAAAAGAAAATTATCAATAATTACGGAAAAACCAAAGGAGACATGGCCACGATGGCTGGTAGTGAGTACACATCCGTTAAGGATTTCTACAGAGATCGTTCAATTTTTATCACTGGCGGTACCGGTTTCATGGGAAAAGTTCTTGTTGAGAAGCTGCTACGTTCGTGTCCGGGTATTAAAAATATTTATTTACTTATGAGGCCAAAAAACGGACAAGATGTACAGCAAAGGTTACAAGAACTTCTTGACGTACCGGTAAGATTGTATTCTTTAACGCTTATTATATAATTATTTATACGTTCATTCATTTTTTTTTTCTTGAACTGAATATAAAATGTTAAAAGAATAATATTAGAAATTCATGAGAAACTCACTGGTTCTCAAATTTTGATCGATTCTTGGCACCCTTACTGAATCCACATGTTCTCAAGGCACGCCTTATATCAAATTCTAACAAATACACTTTGCGAAATAGATAATAATTTCTTTTGTCAAGGGTTAAGTAAAAATATATAATATTTAGCGACATCCTTAGTTGCAACTCCTCGGAGTGCCGAGACCGCATACTTTGAGAACCACTGATATAACTCGTTAACGATTGCTTTGAAAATAATTATATTTATAAAAAGAAAATCATAATAATAATAATCTTCTTGTTAATTATTTTGTCAACAGTTATTTGAAAAGCTACGACGTAGTTTTCCTCGTGCTCTTTCAAAAATCGTGCCTGTAGCAGGAGATGTTACGGAACAAGAACTCGGCATCTCGGAAGAGGATAGACAGACACTGATACAATGTGTATCGATCGTCTTTCATTCGGCCGCCACCGTAAAATTCGACGAGGCCTTGAAACTTTCGGTCACTATAAATATATTAGGTACCCAACGTCTCATTCAATTGTGCCATCGAATGCACAAATTGGAGGTAAGAATTGTGTTCATTCGTTTAAAAAAAAAAAAAAAAATGATTCATGTATTAAGTCAAATAGATATAAATAAAATACGTATAATGTAATCCGATCGAATAAAAATAGAAAAAAAAAGGCCAAAAAAAGTTGCTGTTTACAGGCTCTTATTCATGTATCAACGGCATACTGCAACTGCGATCGGGAGGATGTAGCTGAAGAAATATATCCACTTGCGAAAGATCCCGAACAAGTGATTTCCTGGACCAAGTCAATGGATGACGAGATGATCGATGAATTAACACCGAAATTGATCGCTAATCGACCAAATACTTATACTTTTACCAAAGCTTTAGCGGAAAAAATGCTTCAAGGAGAAAGTGGTTCTCTACCTGTCGCAATTGTTAGACCATCGATTGTATTATCAGCCTTAAAAGAACCAGTCGCTGGTTGGATAGAAAATTGGAATGGTCCTACTGGGATTATTGCGGCAGCTGGTCAAGGCTTCTTTAGGTAGAAATTAAGTGCCACACGAATTTTCAAGGAAATCTCCTTCAAGCCACGAGCATTACATTGAAAAAACAAATCACTGTAACCTGACTTTGGACTTTTCATGTATGTAGCGTCAATTGCTGGTAATTAACTATTTTTTTATACAAAAAAATGCACAAGGCCTGACTGAGATTTCCTTAAGAATTCATATAGCGTTCAACGTGTTAAATGCTATGAAAGAAGCAAAAAATATTCATGACTAATTCGTGCTTATTTATCTTTGTTTTTAGAACAATGTTATGTGATGAGAATAAAGTAGCTGATTTAATTCCAGTCGATATAGTGATCAATTTAATGATATGTGCTGCGTGGAAAACTGCAACAGATCGTACAGGCACTATCACTATTTACAATTGTTGTTCTGGCCAACAGAATCCTATCACCTGGAAAGAATTTGTTGATTTATCCTTTAAATACAGTCGGATGCATCCAGTAAACAATGCATTTTGGTATCCAGGTGGTCGTTGCCGTAGTTCCAAATTTTTCAATAAAGTGTGTATAATCTTCCAGCACATGCTGCCTGCTCACACTTTAGATTTTCTAGCTCGTCTGAAGGGCTCACGACCTATAATGGTTCATATACAGGGGAAACTTACCAAAGCCACTAAATGCTTGGAATACTTCAGTACGAATCAATGGAACTTTAGGGATTCTAATGTAAGGAGATTAGGAGAACAACTGAGCTTAGAAGATCGGCAGACATTTATGTTCGACGTCAAACAGATTGATTGGCCGTCGTACTTGGAACATTATATATTGGGAATTAGACAATTTATTATGAAACAGAACCCAAACACACTGCCAGTTGCCCGCTCACATATTAGAAAGTAAGTAGTATAATCAGCTTCTAACGAACTTAAACACTAAGTGGCTAATTTTCATCTTCTTCACGTGTGTTTCAGATTATATTGGCTTCACAAAGCAGTACAGTTTGGAATGCTGTTAACAGTACTACATGTTCTGCTGTCATATAGATCTACGGCCCGTTCTGCCTCTTATTTAGTCTTGTCTATCATACTCCGTATATGCCGCATGATTGTTTGACGGCTCAGAACTCCGGCCAACGAATGTGATAAATACAATACAAAGCAGAAGCTAATCATGGAGCATAATTTAAAGGTGCGAATTGTTCTTCGACCATATTACTTAGCCTCCCCGACGATAAAGCGCTATCTTTGCTCCCATGAGTTGGCCTTTTCGACATTTCTATTTGTTCGTAAATATTAGTAATGACTAGGAATTATTTAATAAAGAGTGTCGGTTACCGAGCTATGAAAGAACAAGGTACGAAATATGTGAATGTTCCCACAATATGGTAGATGCATAACAAGCATTCTTATGTCGATAAAAATGAAATATAGGTATATTTACGAGAGATATAACCATCATTCATCCTTCTCTGTCGTGTTATTTCATTTTTTTCTTTGATAAAAATTATACAATATCGTTATTATATTAAATATAATAAATACATGTAGGTACGCTATAGATCTTTTTTTTTATTATAATTGCTATTTCCATCGTCGTTATTATTATTTTTATCATTATTATATTATCGTTCTTATTATTATTACTACTACTATTACTACTGCTGTTGCTGCTGCTGCTAGTATTACTACTAAAACTACTACTACTACTATTACTATTACTACTACTATTACTATTACTATTACTATTACTATTACTATTACTATTACTATTACTACTAATACTACTACTACTACTACTACTACTACTACTACTACTACTACTACTACTACTACTCTACTACTATTACTACAACTATACCGCTACTATACTACAAATACTATTACTAGCATTGATATTGTCCAATCTCCTAAATTGTGTAATAACGGTCGACGTACATAAGTGCAAATATTTTCAAGTGAATGTAAATGATGAATATCCTGCTATATACCAATACCTCTAAACAACATTAGCATCGTAAAATTACGATTTGATTATTAATATTGATGCTTAACGGAACAACGTCAATTCTGAAGGAATATCACACAAGAGCAACAACAACGACGATAACATTCACTTATCATTAAATTAGATACCCTTAGCGTAGCTTTTCGTGCGTAGTACACCCCGATGATTCAGCTACAAAAAAGAAACAAATATTATTTACGATAGATCATTATGGGGAACACGCATTCGTCATGTTTTTATATGGTCGGTATCTGACATTCTTTTATTTAATTCTGTGACGTAAGATACCTAGGTAGATATTTTGCTACATCCATATGACGTAATATGATAATGCGTCGTAAGGCATCGTCGCTATGATTTAGAATAATTCTTAGAAAAAAAATCCTTGAGTCCTCCGTAATGCATTGACTCATAATACGATGAATTATAACGATATAAAATGGCGATATACGCATATATAGCAAAATGGTAAAAATAACTTACTTATATATATATACATATGGAAGCTAGCGTATTGTGTCTTTTTAAGAACTGCCAGAGTTTTACTGGAAAATCTTGACAAAATTAATGCATCTTATTGAAAAAAAAAAAAAAAAATAAGGAAAAAGCAAAGGGGAAAAAAAAACATAATTAATGGCAGCTTTGAGATGTTCTTTTTAAAAAGAATATACGTGCTAAAGTAGAAATATTCTTTGATAAAATATCTCTACGTATCTTACAAATTTTGTCATGATATAAACACATTTGGTAAAAAAAGGAGGAAAAATGGAGGAGAACAAAACAAAGCAGAAAAATAAATAAATAAATAAAGAAAGAAAGAAAGAAAGAAAGAGAGAGAGAGAAACGAAAACGAAAATAGAAATTTTGAAGGCATCGGCAACTTTTTACGTCTATCTTCCATTTATCTTCGTACATGTGAATTTGAAATAAGAAAAAAAGAACAAATAAAATTAATAGATTTGTAGTAAAAATACAAGCGTAACAGAAGTGCAATATACATGAAAGTTTATTATCATTTATCGAACTTCATAATTATATTATTATTATCATTACAATATTGATTATTATTATGATAATTTATATAAGAAAAAGACAATTTTCTATATAACAGCTTCTTCTTCCTACATTTGGACGTACTCGTTAGATTAATTCATGTTTTTGTATTTTTGAATTCGCAAAACCCAACCCTAGTGTCAAACTTTTTCCCTTTAGATGATAAATGGATTTTATTTCTTATTCAGCTATTGTATATATAATAGCTGATAATATATTATATATATACTATATATCATTTTCATTACTTCCTTAGTATTATTTTTTTTTTTTTTAACAAGATATATACATCGAACATTGACAGATCTGTTCGAAAAAAAAGAAGAAATTGATTTGAATCGTTATTACGATTTCATAGAATGATATACAAATATGTCGAACGTAAACGTTTTAAATAAATAATTAAACGGAAAGTGTCCAAAGGATATATATATATATATAGTCAGACATTTTTTAAGGAATTCTTATAAATCCACTAATTGCTTTTATGCCCTTATTAAACAAAAATATAAACAATGAAGAAATGAATAGATACCAATAATATGCCAATTAATTATGTTAAGCGTTTAAAATCATCATTATCATAGTTTCTCGTTTTTCGGCGCATTAAAATTTAATTGATGCCTTTTTTTTTGTTTCATCTTGTCCTCCGAACTATGTATTTAAATTAGTATTTATAAAATAGCAAAATTGTAACTTAATAATTCTGTACCACGCGTTGCCTGTGCCTTTAAGATAATTTAATCTCTGTATTGAATTTGATTTAATACATTCGAGACCGGAAATGTAATCCTACGCCAAAATTAAGTAATATTATTTAATTATTTATTTTGTTTCATTTTCATTTGATTGTTGAACGTTTATTTTTCATTATATATATATATATATATATATATATATATATATATATATTTTCTTGTTAAACTTATTAAATTATAGTTATTGTTTTATAATTTAATATGTTTTATATTTCAAGTAATTATATATGATATTTATTAGTTTAATATCTCGCCCAAAAAGCAACACCGGTCACGAATGTGTTAATAATCGTAAGAATAAAAAATAATAATAATAATATAAATAATATTAATAATAATAATAATAATAATATTAATAATATTAATAATAATAATAATAATAATAATATTTAAAAAAGAAAAAAAAACCAAAGAGATAGAAACAAAAGCAATTTGTTATCTAACAAGGGCATCTTCATTTGTAATCTTAGATTTTTTTTCAAATTTTGCACCCTTGTAATGGTCTTATGAGACCTATAAATTACGTCCGTAAAAATTTTGCTAATAGTCAACAATTCGCGAAAATGAGTAGGGTACAAATTTCACAAATATTTTTCTTTTCTTTTTGAATCCTTGACGGAGGAAAATTCTTGTCTTTGATTTTTGTTTTCTTCTTTATTTCTTATTTTTGTTATTGTAAAAGTATGTTTAGTTCATTTAATTTCTTTTTATTTTTTTTATTTTTCTAGAGTGTTATATTAATTTTTTAAGAAAAATAGTTACATTAATATTATAAAGTTTTTATTATATTACAAAATCAACATTACACACAAGTAATATAATAAATAATTGTAAATAACATAATACAAAGAAAAAAGAACATAAACTTTTAATCTGTACGACGAATATCACCTTAAAAAAATGTATCATCCCAAGCACATAAAGGGATTAATTTATGTTATATATATATATATATATATTATTTATTATATGTTAATATTTTATGTGTCTGTACGATGTATATCATTCTAAAATCGTCTAGAGGTATTATGCCATAAGATTAATTTATGTTATTTTTTGTGTATTATTTTATTTACAATTATTTATCATATTACTTGCGTCATATATTGATATTTGAATAAAATAAAAACTGTTAGAAATAGAATAAACTTAACACGCTCTATAATATTATAAATGCACCCATTTTTTTCATTAGTCCAATGTATAGTCCTCATGGACCATTATAAGTGTGCAAAGTTAGCAAAAAATCTGAAGTTAGAAATGATGAAGATGTCCTTGTAAGTCGGGGTGTGTGGGCTTCCCTTAATAATTATTTCAAGTTCTTACCATTGAAACGCTGCCAATATGCGACCGAAAGGGAAATACTTGAGACAAACGGAGGAGTGGAAAGATTGCAAAAAAAAAAGAGATAGATAGGAAAGGCTCCATTGAAGATATAGAAAAAATTATTTAGTAATTTAAGGTAACGTATAAATAATTAATTAGCCAGCGCCGGGGACGGAAGGCAAGGTAGCGCTAACAAAAATGAACACCTGCTAATCTCATCTGTATTGTTATCTGGTAACATAATGCATACAAAAACAACAACAATAACAAATAACGTTTAATATATAATTGATTTCATTAATATTGTACTGTACTATTATAAATTACTTTGAAAATGATGACAAAAAATTGAAGATTACGATTATCCAAACACCTGTCTAATCACCTTGCGACTTTCCTGAATGTCTTCAAATTTTTTCGAAAAGTGTAAGAGAAGAAAAAAAGAACCAAAGTGGTATTCTTTAAAAAAGTAAATTATCTTGTTCATTTAATGACGTTTTCTAATATTTTTTATCGATTGACATAAGATAGGCGTGAAACGCCACGTGCAGGACCTTTCTTTTGTGTGGTAACGGCAGTGATACCAGCACGTGAGATTTTCTCCCACGTGGGAGCCTTGGTGCGCATGCGCATGCAACGTTACAGCTCAACGGTGGTTGTTTTCATGAACGTATCTATGTGCAACAGTAGGTACGCGTAAGGGCCCCTTCCCAGTCGTTTCCCGCGTTTTTCGTTAAGGTCGCATAATGTTATATAATATATCGAATTTTAGTGTAATATTAATGTATTACAGTGACAGAAACCAGGAGATAGATTACCAGCAACCTAATTCGAGTGAATTGGCGGATAAGAAAAGAAGTAATAAAGAGAAAATATTCTTATTATCCCTACTGTATTTCGATTGTCACGGGGTTCTAACGATACCCCATATTTGAGTGTAGTATATATGTTACTGAGGATTAGGTAGTGCGCATGCGTGAGAAAAATTCACGTCCTGGCACCACTGGTTAACGGTCTCGTTTTTCATTCGAGTTATCATTATATCGCGAATCTTATTTCATTCCGTCTTATAAATGTTGAAGAAAAACTAGTTTGAGTTTAATTAATTTGGAAGTTGATCTTCTTAAAATCGATCGATACAACATTCTTATAGGACTTCTCGAAACGAACGAAAATCGTTCGTACACTGAACGATTCAAGTAAGTTGGATGTCATTATAAAAAAAAAAAATGTAAATACTCAAGAATAGTACTGTTCGCTTAACTGTTAGTTGGCAATTTTTGTTCTTTTTTAATATTATCATATTTATGTCGTTTAGAAAAAATTAATATAAAATTTATTATTATTATTATTATTATAAGATATATTATACCTCGAAATAAAAACATTAAGCCAAAGAAAATGCATATTGACTCTTCAAAAATAATATGTCGAAGAATAAGTTCTTTGATCTTATAGACATCAAAGTTTACCAAAAGGCAGAATGCATTTGTCGAACGTCGAGAAATATTTCTGACGATCTTCAGAAAATTAACCGATCATGTCAGATCACATGCAAATGTACGTAACCTTAAAAATCATCGAAAGCCAAACATCTGTCTATCGAAGTTATTTTAAGTTTGTGGAATATGCAGAAATATTCTCGATGAATTTCATACTAACCGAAACTTTGACTCTCGCATACCTCCCCTACTTCAGATAATAGTATCATTCAAATTTATTGCACACCTATATAAATAAAAGAAGTTAAATGTTTTGAATGCAATTCCATGTTCTTTAACATTTTTACATCAACATTTTTCGTTGCAGATTGTACATTTCGAAAAAATGTCACAGAATATTCAATTATTGTTAAATGATTTTTTAATGGAAACAAATCAAGATAACTTATACGGTACCACGCTAATCTCATTTGAGTGTGAAAATGTGAACGTTGAAGATTCCATACCAGAGGTAGTAAAATCTTTGACTACTATTGCTTAAAAACCTAAATCACTTGAAATGTAGGTATATTTGATATACTTTTTATAGCAAATAATTTGTTAACAGATCGTATTATCGAATAGAGGTGGTCCAAAATTGATTTACGATAATTACATCTACACACTGCACAAAAAGCACTCTGAACACATCCGTTGGAGATGTGTCGGTAGAATAACCAATTGCAAAGGAATTCTCTTAACAACAACAGATTATACGAAGCCGAAAGTATGTGTACCGCACAATCATGAACCGTCTGTTGCAGCTGTTCAACTAGCGAGGGAACGTTATTTGGAAATTGACAAAACATACGCGTTGAAGAGTGAGTTATTAACATTTATTTAATTTAATTATTATATTAAAATCATGTACTACTATATCGAAAGCATTATTCATAAGATGATTTTTTTAGAAGTGCAATCCGAAGGAAAAAAAAATATTCATCAGTCATTCGTTGAAATGGAACGGTGGAGGAAACTTAATGCTAAAAAAAAAAGTAAGTATTTGAAATTATTCGACTATTGGCATGACTATAAATTAAACATTCTTTTGAATTTCCTCAACCTATCGTTCAATTCAGACAATAGTAGCATCGAATTATTCGAATATTTTAAATTTACGCGCCATAAAACAACGTGTATAAATTCAAAATAGTCGTTTGTCGTCGCTCGCACTAGATGGCGTTTAAATTGACTGTAACCGGCTCGATCTTTAAGAGATATGCTTTTTGATGAAGGATGAAGAGGGGAGATTAAAGGGCAAGAAGTGGTAATAGTGGGGTGAAGGAGCAAGAGGAAGTAAGGGTCTAGCGAAAGACGGTCGGTAGGCGATCGATGAAATGAGATAAAATGAGAATTGGCGCGTGAAGAAGACCGGAGAAACACCGGCCGGCCGGCAGATTCGGATTGAGTCGACTGGATTCGGGATTATTCGTCTCGACTAGACTCGGTACTCGCGATTGGCTAACGGGAGACGAGTTCGGTTAGTAGGTGAGTGCGCTCTCAAGAGAGACGCACAACAGGAGGCAAACTAGTAGGTAGAGAAACAAGCAAGGAATCAAGCTACGCAGGCAGGCAGGCACACGCAAGAGAGCGCGAGACGACACACGGGACGCGGACGGATAATATGCGTCGACGACCGGCGGCGCCGTCGCACATGCGCGCCCTGACGCGCCCCTATGTTCGTCCACCGATTTCGATTTTAGTCACTCCCGGGTTCGGCTTCGGGAAAAATCGTTCCGCTCTCTCGCTCTCTGTGCGCCCGAGGACACCACCCAAGTGCAGGACGCTCTTTTGTCGTCTTACATTTTCCACTTCCTGTCTCTCTATCGGCGATATTACGTGAGATCAACGACGTGTCCCGCCTTTTCTCATACCGGGACAACGATTTTCGCGGTATCCTTTCCCGACTGATCGTATATATACCTACATATATATAATATATACATATCTATATATACGTATATGTATATGTATATATATGTGTACATTATTGTATAGGTAAAGATACAGATACATAATGTTACTTGACGACGTGCATACATTTTTTTTCGTGTTATATGCGAGAGAGAACGAATTTTATGCAAACGATTTGATGAATATATATATATATATATATATATATATATATATATATACACGTATATATATATATGCGTTAACTCGTAACTATAGTCGTGCCACTGCTAACTTGACGCATTGTCGATGAACGCAAGCCGATTTTATGCGAATCGAAAATATGAAGGAGGGGGGAAAAAGGAGGAGAGAATAGCAGGCGTAATGATTATAAAAAGAATCGCGCGATTCAATAAAAATGAAGAAATCCTGGTGCGTGAGAGAAGAAAAAAATAACCAAGATGTTATTCGAATATTTGACATCGTAATTTAAAGAGAAAAATAGAACACGCAGTCTTCGTGAAAACGCACCAGGGTCGATAAAACCAACACTGCTACCGATCCGGTACGCGCACTAGTGATTGAACAGTCCAACAACGACGACGTCAGTGGCTTCTTCTCCCTTCCTCCTCACCCTTTCCACACAGTTGGCTTCGTTTTATCTTCTCTCGCGCGGGAATCTTTTTTGTATCTTTGTATGTTTCAATAAACGAACAGGAGCCAACCCTGCGTGGTGTGTTCCGTGTGTCATCGCAACGGTAGCCATTTTATAGCCGGTCGTGGCTTTTATTCGTACGTGGTCGGTATGGAGGGAGCAAGAAGGAAAATAGAAAAAGGGAGAGTAGTAGGTCGGTACGTGGGGTAGTATAAGCACGAACGAGATAGAACGATACGAGTGGGTGCTATAGCAGAGATATAGAAGATCACGCGACAAGGTATAAAGGGAAGGGCGGACGATAGAGAGGAAGGGGAAATACGTAGCGCGTGCTAATGTGTTCTCCTCCGTAAGCCTTGGGACTTCTCGAAATCTTCTTTAAAGCACACTTGCGTTTATATATTACTTAAATATAATAATCTTTGATAGGATATCGCGTGAGACTTACAAATATTGAACAGTATAATGATCGTCTTTATCGATAGATATCGATTTTGGAACTTACAATATTACGAGATGGCTATTTTTAATCTATGAAAGATTGCTTCAGAACAACATTTCAAATAAAACGTGTTAGAAATGATGAAAATATATTCGATATCTGTTAAACTCTTAACAATTGTTGAGTACCCGCTCCTACGTTTCGAAGAAATCGTTAACAGACGCTCGTCGCCTTGTTTTTTCGATTGGGGAAGGAGCTTCAAGGGGGTAGAAGACGAACGTTGCATGCTTTATCGGCTCGTCGAGGACGATTATCGTTGGTGCTTTTTTTAGAAACCTTCGCGAACGACTTCTACGATAGCTTCGAACGATGCCTTTTACTGCCGCGATATTTCCCAAAATTTCTTCGATTTTCTTCAAATGATTCAGTTCACAGCATTCGAATGACAATTTTGAAAATCATTCATATTATCGATTTGATTTGAAATCATCTTTATTTGGTAATAATTTAGAAGGAGAAAATATCATCATCACGTGCGTATATATGACCCACGAAAATCGTTTCAATCAGTTACATTACTTAAATATTTACATCGTCGTATACATTAGAGAAGATCGTTTGTTTTTATGAGACTAATATAAAATATTATTGACGTTATTTTGCATAGATAATTTAATATAATATCAATAGACGCAAATATTACTAATACAAATTGTGTCTATTTATTCTTATTTTGTAAATCAGTACAAAAAAGTATTAAAAGTATTATTATTCTAAAGAATGTATAAAGGGGAATCCCACACAGTGATTGATCTTAATATCAGATAAAATTATAATTGTTTCTTTTTTCTAAAATTCACTTGTGTTATTAAATATGCATATCGATGGCCGATTGTGTATCTCAATGTTGTAGAAAATAGGAAATGCGATGGACTTCATTGGAACGTACCCAAAATTTTGAGAAGATATATTGACGAGCATACCACCTAAGAGTTCAATAACTTTCTTAATGCATTCGTCTAATTTGGTCGAAAATTGTTGCTTCGAATTTATTCGCTATCTTCTTCTATTTTTCTTCACATATAAATATTAACAATAAGGAATAAAGTTATTTTTCCTTGCCGATACATTGCTCTGAAATTTTTTGTTCCACGGAAAATAAACGAACGTCACGTGACTTTCTTTTATCGATTTCAATTAATATAGCAAATAATTGTAAGGATCATATTAATCGTGCATAATTTTCTTTCTCTCTCTTGTGTACTAACCAAAGACTAGTCCAATTTAAAGATATTTAAGGATTTTTTTTTTTCAAGATATAAATGCAATACTTCATTGCATTTTAGTTGAAAAGAATGCAGAAAGACGCAACTCCGGCCATAGCAGAGAACCGAGATAGTGCAAAAGTTTAAACGTTGACAAAAGGGAAGTAGAAGAATAAAAAAAGTAGTAAAAGAAATACTACTGATAACCCAAGCGTTGAATAAGAATAATTCAAGACGGCGAATACCGGTGCAACTACGACAGGTCGGCTTGTATTGGTGACCGGTAACGCGGACACCACCAAGCTGACTTCGCACAGAATCATCCAAGAACAAAAATTGAGTGCTCGAGGGAGTGGCGATAGTTGTGGTGCTAACACAAGTTCAAACGACGAGATCGTTGAGTCAGTCAAAAAACTTGAAGGAATAGCGATGAAGCAGGAACCGGAAGATGAGGAGGACTGTTATCTCGAGGACAATGGAATGCCTGTTGTGTCGCCGACTTCCTCTCCACCCTCTGCTGCTAGTAGGCACACCAATACGACCCACAGGGTGAGATCCCACGCGCGCAGTCTCCGAGCGATGGCCAATCCCAGCGCAGTTTGGGCTCACTTTGACCTATGTGCGAATGACCCATTGCGTGCTCAGTGCCGTATATGTGGTGCCGTTGTTGTCAGGGGTGGCGCAAATCCTCGACAATGCGGAACCACCAACCTCCATCGGCATCTCAGGGTACACCATGGTGGCAGACTCATCGGCAGAAGTTATCACGGTAAACAACAGAACCACATGCTGCAAAATTAATCACTGATTTTCGACGATTTCTCGTTTAATTTATTGTTACTATATACATTAATTCACAGAAATATTCATATTACTGATGTTAATTTTAAATAATTGATATATATATATATATATATA